CTTGAAATTTGTTCCATTTTTTATTTCGTTTCACTTGCATATGCAGCATTACCATTTCTAAAAACCTAAATGACGAATAAATTGGGTTAAATTCGGTCACTTAAAGACCATAAATGATCATTTAAAACTGCTAAATGAGCAAATAAATTATAATTTAGTCCCTTAATGATAATTTAGCTTCCGTCTGTCAATGCTATAAAGATTATAGAAAAACAAACACAAAATTTAAAAACTTGGAAATGAAAACAGATCCATTACTATTTTAACAAAACAACATTCCATATAAGTGTGGTGCCCATGACCTATGTACATCATTGTTTAATATGGCAAGTCATTGCATAAAGTAACAAAAGTGACATAATTTATTGAATGCACATTTGTCGCTTTGTCGTTTTGACTTTGATCATGTTACACTTTTAAATTTTGTTTGACTCACGCCGTTATGATTGTGCACTCGTAACATGATGCGCGAGCTAAACGTTTTATCATATGTGGTCATTGTACGGTAGTAACACAAATTCCTTTAGAGAAATGTTAAACCTTATGAATAACACTTATAATAATATATATAAGTAAAAATGCATAAGAAATAGATAACATATGTTAGAATAGTAAAATAGATACTATGAATATCTTACATGTAAAAATTATATACTTTATCAAAAATTGGGAGTAACCAATGTATTGATTGGTTACTCAAGAATATATAGGAAATAAATAATAAGTTTAGTAGATAAGAATATTTTGTATAAATAGAGTAAGATTTTACAAATAAATCAGATTCTTTTAGATTCTTTTGCAAAGGCAACAAGAATAAACTATATGTTATTTTGAATCTCTGGTTATATGCGGCATATCTGCTGGTAATACCATTAAGGCGGCTGAAGAGCTTAGAAAGTACTTAAAGGCAGCTGAAGAGCTCAGATTAATACTTATCCTTGCTAGGTCGAAACCTTTTGGGGCTCTTAATTACAATCCCTTAGCAATCCTGTCAAGTTAATACATATCAATGTATTGGATGAAGAACCTTGCATGGCAATCCTGAAGCTACACATCTTTGCATGGCATAATCTTTGCATTATATTATGAACATCCTTAATAATATCATTACATGGCGATCCTGCCATCCTTTAGTAATAACATTACATAAGACTCACATTGAGTGTTAAGGTTCAGTTAGACGGTAGTTAACGTAAGATGTTAAGAAGAAACGAAATGAAAATTTCGCTTTAAGTTAAGGCGGTGTTAGACGGTAAGTAAGCAGCTGATTTTGTTTACATTGGAACATGCAAATGAAATATTTTCAAAAGTTCCAGTCGGTAGTTGAGTGTCCGCAAGTGTAGTGAAATTCTGTGTTATTTTTGTTGAAAGTGAAATAATTAACAATAGTTTAAGTAAATTATTAACAAATATGTATAATCAAAATGAATTGACTGTGCAAGCTTGTAATTTGTTTCTAAACATATTGCGCTTGTACAGCATGAGAAATCAAATGCGCAATAGAAGGTGGCGAGTTCGTCCTATTAATGTGGATCGTGCTCTACATGGCTATTACCGAAAAACGTTTTTAGCCATAAAAGAAAAAGATAACGAAGAATTTTTTAGTCATACACGGATGTCTAAAGAATTATATACTTTATTATTGAAGTTAATAGCTCCTTCTGCGACAAAATGTGGGCAGCAAATAAATGCTGATGAACGTTTATCACTTACTCTTTTGTAAGTTACATGTACTGTTTTATTAGTAATTTTAGTAAAAATAACACGAACATTTTTTAAAGGTATTTGGCACATGGCGTCCCTTTACAGAGTTTATCATGGAGCTATAAATTGGGAAGAACTACAGTTAGAAACACCGTGTTGGAAATGTGTGATATTATTTGGCAACTACTATCACCAATATATTTAAGTGAACCTACAGAAGAGCAATATCGGCATATTGCATCAGATTTTTGGCAAACATGGAACATTCCAAATTGTGTTGGTGCAATTGATGGCAAGCATGTTGCTATTAAATGTCCTCGGCGATCAAGTTCCCAATTTTTTAATTATAAAAAATTTTTTAGCATCGTACTAATAGCAGCTTGTGATGCTAAATACACTTTCACTTCGGCAAGCTTGGGAGCATATGGTAGTCAGAGTGATGGAGGTAGTTATATTTAGTTTGTATAATAATGTATTGTTAATATAATAATAATATAATAATAATGATATAATAATATAATAATGATTGTTAATTTGTAGGAATATTTCGAGTAACAAGATTTGGTAAAGACTTTGCTGAAAACAAATTACCGTTCCCTCGCAGTATTCCTTTACCATTAATTTCGCAACCATTCCCTCATTACTTCGTCGCTGATTGCGCTTTTCCACTAAAGAATAATCTAATGAAACCATTTCGAGGAAATGTTACAAATAGAATACAAAAAGTATTTAACTACAGATTATCTCGGTCACGTCGAGTGATTGAAAATGCTTTTGGAATTTTAACAGCGCGATGGAGAGTAATGAGAACAACAATGGAGTTTAGTCCAGAAAATGCAGAAAAAATTGTATTGGCATGTTTGGTGCTTCACAATTTCATTATGCTGCATGATACAAAGCGATGGTACTGTCCGGAAAATTTTACAGACATTGAAATGGAAAATAATTCTGTAGTTAGAGGAGAATGGCATAACGAATTAATATCTGTTGAAGGACCATTGCCTTCCGTAACGTCTTTTGTACGTCGTGGTCCAGATAATGCATACAATTTGAGAATGTACCTAGCTAATTATTTTGTTAATGAAGGTGCAATTCCTTTTCAAAATCATATTAATTGAAAGAAAATACTATTGCATAGAATTTATATAATTTTTTTTATTAATGTGTTTAAAAAGCCATTTATAACATTATTATTATCAAATTAAAATATTTTTTCTTAAAATTAATAAAATTGTTTTTATATTAAAATATTACATTATTATTATATATAAGATATTAATTATTGATATTATAAAATAAATAATATTAACTATTATAAAATACAATTACCTATTGTAAAAATGTTAATAAAATAAATTTATTAAAATATTTTCTGCTGATTATTTTTGCTATATAGAAATACAATCAATATTCAGCAATATTAATAAAATAATTATATAAAAAAATATAATATAAAAAAAAAATTTATTAATAATCACATTCATAATCACAATATTTTTTCGTCTACTCTCGTTATAGTAAACATATTCCGCACATAATTCCACCCTCATCAAGGTTTTGCGAGCAACTGAGCACAGTTTTTAAAATCGCTGAACGTCAAAACCTAATTGAATTTGATTTTTCTATAAGTTCGCCACATATGTTTATTTCGTTCCTATCAAATACACAGGTTTGGTTGTTTGTGCATTTCGCTTTGACTTAACTTCTTACGTTAACTACCATCTAACTCCACCTTTAGATTTCAAATAAATCAACGTTGGTACTAATTACGAAAGCAAACACATATTTCTAAATAACTGACTATTCGATGGTACATACCATTTGATTAAAAAAGAACGAGAAGTTAAAAAAAAACGCAAAATTTTCATTTTTAATAATTTTCTTTTTATCGCCTTCAAAGTGCTCTCCTCCTGACCGTTTGACCATTTCACCGTCCGGACTTTGGCGTTCTCTTTTCGGTTTTGGTTCATATCAATATCAATACTTTGATATTGATATTGATTCGAAAATTTCCTAAAATATAGTCTTTGAGATGATCTTTCTTTTAAATATAATTTGAGCCCAAATTAGCATTTGAGGCATTTAGCGTGGTCCCAAGATTACTTAAAAACTATGATAGGTGGAAAGCTGAATTTTAGTGTCTGGAAAACTTATATTATTATCTAGATTTCAAATTATCTAGATTTATTATGGTTTTCCGCCCACTGCCACACCAACCCCCCATACTTTATTTTCATATTAAATCGATTATTATCGTTAAAAAAAGCTTTTTACACTCATTAGACTATACATATACATGACGTACATAGCAACACAACTTCGTGCAAAAAATTGGCGTGATCCGCCCATTACTTCCTAAGTTATTTGCAGTTTTATGCAATTTTACGAAATTACGATTTAGCAAAAATTGAACCAACTTTAAACCCCCTTATAGCTTTTCTACTATTTATTCCAAAATGATCATTTTTGATTTTTTTTTAAAGCTTAGGAAATTGTTATTCATTATGTGTAAAAAAAATTTCAATTTTAATTATCAATAAAATTTTATTAGCGAAATTGCACAAAAAGTCAGTAATTTTTTCATGGTCATTTCCACATCTATCTGCAGTACCCAAAAAAGGCATCCGAGTTTTTTCATGAAATTTTTCCTACTAATAGCCAAATAGTTAAACTTTACAAAAAAAAATTGATCTGCGCACTCTATGTTTTACACCTATTTTGGTCTTCAGAAACCAGCGAAAAATTACGAAAAATATGACCTTCAATAAACTTCATTTATTTCAACAACAAACTTGTAATGAACCTACTTTTTCCTAGCCGGGGTAGTTCTCAGCCTAGTCCAAGGTCTTACAAGAAAATTTCTATTCGCGGGGACCCAGCGTTCAACTAATGTCGTTTCTACCGTTGAAGTAAGATGTCGTAACACAGTAATTATTTTCGAATTCAAGTTTTTTTTTCCCTCTCTGGTACATCAGGACAGCTTACAATGTCCAACGTTGATTATCAGGAACCGCCAATCACCTTAAACTTTGCCACGTATCGGAGACAAAGAGACACCAAAGCCGCGCCACGTCGTTTGCTTATGGTGTCAACACGTTTATAATCTTCGAACGAGCACCAGTACAAAATCTTTTAGTTAACCACTGTTAAAGCCGTCAACTATTTCTTTTATACTGGGGCTATTATCACTATTATCCCGAGCACCAAAATAAATTTTATTAGTAAAAATCAAAGTTTTATTTGACACTTTTTGCTCTTAAGCAATTTTTAATTTTTTTTTTCAAAAAAAAATAATTAAAGTTGTAAATCAAAATTTAGTTTATAAATAATTTTTGAATTAATTATTTCTTTATATGGACAAAAACTGAGTAATTCACACCACCGGTACGTTGCGTTTCGTTTTACATAACCACGAGCCAAGAGACCGAAAACTTCTCCGCTTGCGCCTTTTATTCTCCTTTTTTTCTAACTGCGTCGAGCGGACTTTTTTGTTAGCCGTTGTTCGGTCAATACCCTCAACATTTCCCCTCATCAGGCATTCTGTTGTAGACTTCTGAAAGCTTTAAATTACACTCGCAGCTTTTTTCCTATTATCCGCTGCAATTTTTGGCGATCAACCGAAATGCACAAAGCAAATTAATAAATGACATTTCTCATTTTTTTCTATTTTTGTTTTGATTATGCTTTGTTTTTTACTAAAATGTGTTTCATGCAGTTCGGGAAAATAATTTAAATTTATTTTAATTAATATAGTTCGAACTATATTAATTAAAATCAATATTCGTCAGGGTATTTCAAGGTATGTATAGCATATGTTAGATATGTTGGAGTACATAACATCAAATTTTATTTAATTATAGTTATCTTTGACGTCAGCATTTTGTGAAACGTGTAAGAATGTGAACGTGTGAAATGCGTATTGTGTGACTAAAATTTATTCAAAAAATTTAGTCGTCACAAACTCAATAAGTGTAATGTTCACGTTTAAGTTTTGTAAGGATGGAAATGTTAACTAATTTCCAACCTACATACAATCAGTTTGGAGTTAATATCTGCAATGAAAACTGGTTAATTTTTATTGTTAATTTAAAACGTAAATAACTTACCATAAACCCACCCCCGCATGCACGTAACTGCACCAAATGAATAAACCTAAGATTACACTGAAAATGCAAGAAATATAAAATATATTTAAACAAATAAATAATACACTCACCTTATTTATTATTCATATTAATATTTTTAATATTTGTAATATTTATTTATTTATTAATAAATAAATATAAATAATAAACCACACACACCGGCACTATATAAAAAAAAAAATAAAAACACGTTTGTAAACAAGACAAAGTATGAAAGCTTTGGTTGAACTAAATACAAAGCACGGCGAATTCAAGAACATACGAAAACATACACCCAGGCGAGCAACAGCAGTAAAAGACAACAAGTATCAAAAATGCCAACGGCAAATGTACCGATGCGCTACAGGAAAAGCTTCGGTCGTTTGAGTATAAATAAACGCGCATTGTACCAGCAAGGGCACTTGTTGGGAAACTCTCAAAGGTAGTAATACGTCTTTGCGAAACAAGTCAGTAGAACTATAGCGTCAAGGTTGTACATACGTCTTGACGAGTAGATTGTATATGTAGTCTTATATGTAAATCAAGCGAAGGTAGTCATGATACATCTTGACTAGTAGGATTTTCTGTAGGTTTGAGTTAGGGTAGTAATATGTTACGTCCTAACATTAATGAATGCTAACCAAGGCTGTAACCCACCATAACACTTCTAATCTCCAGTTAACGACGTCTTCTGACAAAACACCAAGATTAGCACGAGTAGTGTCGTCTGACAGCAACATTTTAGGCATGTGGAAACAACAATCGGAACAATCATCGAAGCACAATTATTCCAAATAATCGTAGTCATCAAATTAGCAAACCAGCATTATATTATAATTATATTAGATTGTAAAACCTTATTTTATTTTAAATTCTCCTAAATAAATAATTGAATTACTACATCACATTGTCTTTGACTTCCAAAATAAAAATTCTATTGCAACGACCCCTGGACAACGGCTAAGTATTCCTCAGCATAAGTATCATTTTAACTTACAAGCTTACAAGCTAATTTAATTATAATTCGAACTCTACTCTCTTATTTTGTACTCTTATAAAAAGCTTATTCTATTTATATAAAAGCTTAAACTCTACAATAAGTAATAACAAAAAGACATTTATAATTTTATAAATATTTAAATTATTTATATTTCAAATTTCAACTAAATCGGTTGAAAAACGACGAAGTTATAACACATTATGTTCTACGCCTGACCGGAAGTGTGATTAAAGCGTTTAACCTTGTATTGCTATTCATTCAAATTCAATTTTACAACAAGCAAGTAATGCGTATTTAAAATATGAACATTTGCGGATCTGTCTTCTTACTTTTGCTTCTAATGTGTATTGTCTTGCCTTCGCAATAGATAACTTTAAACGAGCTTTTAATTTATACAAGTAATCGTCTATGTTGTATCTACCTTTCAGAATACAAATTTTCAGTTGGAAAAGATGGTAATTTACTAAAAATCAGTTCGTGCGGGGTATACCCTGTGTCTATATGTGGTGATGTTGTAAGCAAATGTGTAGTATGATAACCAGTTATCCCATTTATTATCGTTTGCAAAGTTAAGGAAGTATTCATTCAGGACACGGTGATTTTTTTCAACCGTACCTATAGTCACATGATGGTAAGGTGTGGAGAATGTTTGATTTATTTTTAACAATTCTGTGATATATAATATGAGTTCATTCATGAACTCTTTTCCTCTGTCTGACTTTAGTATTTTAAATGTTCCATATTTCAATATTAATTGTTCAACAAGTGTCTTTGCAATTGTTTTCGCTTCTTTGTTAACCATTGGATATGTGACGATGAATCTTGTACATTGCATGGTTTGAATGTATCTAAAACCATTTGATAGTCGCAAAGGTCCAACAGTATCTAGTATTGATGTATTTCTAGTAGTGCTGTTCATATTCGAATTTACGAAGTATTCGAAGAATTCGAATAGTAAACGAAGTATCGATGTTTAGTCTGTTTAGTCCTGACACTGCTTTCTGTTTTTATTAGTCAATGTTTAGCCAGAAAGCAGTGTCAGGACTAAACATTGGCATAATAACAAAAAGCATCATAGCAGTAATAGAGCGGCAAAACAACAAGTAACAAGATGGATGCAAGAACGAAGCTGTTTTAAAAACAAAATATTGTAAAAGCTGCAATAGAAGCAATTGAAAGTAGCATCTCGAAACGAGAGATGAGAAGCGCATCATTGAAAGAACAAAGAAATAAATTACAGCATCTATGGAAGGAGTTTCCTGAAAACCATGAGACGATATTAAAAAATCATGGATCCAAAGATGACGTTTATTTCGAGGCAAATTCATACGAAATTATGGAAGAATTGGTTAACGAGCTAGATAAAACAATATGTACAAAATTAGCTGCGGAGTCAGAAATATCAAATACCGAAGACGTAATAAAATAAATACCGCTGGATAAGAACCAGGAAACCGAATCAAATGAGACAAGGAAGGAAGAAACAAACACCTTAATGTTCGAATTTAAAAGATCAATTCAGAAATTAAAAAAAAAGTTTATAATTGGACTAATGCAAGAAGAAGAACAGGAGCTTATAAGAGAAAGAGAAAGCTGGCAAAAGCAAATAGATATAATACAAAACTATTATATAAGGTTGCGAATTGAACATAATGTACGTTCTGAAGAACTGCTTATAGAAAAAGATGATATTGAAGAGTGGCATCGTGAATACGAAGTAAAATTACTAAATAAAATAAAAAAGCTTGCTGAAACAAAAAGGTCAGTTAAATTAGTAGAGATCAAGATTCCATTATTTAACGGCAATGTTGAAGACTGGCAATCATTTAAGAAATTGTATGAAAAAATAGTACACGAAAACACTGATGTATCTAAGGTAGAAAAGATGTATCATCTAAAGTCACTCCTTAGAAATGATGCTCTTACTGCAATAAAACATTTGCCAGTATCCGAAAACAACTACGAGGCAGCATGGGAAATTTTAGATCAGCGATTCAGTAACAAACGAGTGTTGTTCCAGTCCCTAATTGACAAGATATTGATCAACCACAAATAAACAGCAGTAACGCATCCAGCGTAAAATCGTTATGGCATACAACAAACGAATGTATGCAAGCATTATCAGCTATGAACATTGGAATCGAACACGCGGATTCCGTTATAGCAAGTATAATAATGCGCAAAATGGACAAGGAAGGGCTGCTTGCGTATGAACAAATAACAAGAAGAACGAAAGAGATACAAGCGCTAGACGATGTTTTACAATTCCTAGAACAGCTTTATCGAAGGTTAGAAGCAGCCAATAGCAGAAAACAACATAATAATTACAGCAGCTACAGACAGCCATCGCAAAAGGTATCCCTCCTGACAGAAAGTATCATCTGTCTGTATTGTAAAAAAGGAGGACATGCAACAGACAATTGCCGAAATTATTTAGCTGTATCAGTAGCTGAGCGAAATGTATGGGTAAAGTCATCCAGAACTTGCTTTAAATGTTTAAAGCACCCGTTTACGAATAAAACGATATGTGAAAATAAAAAATCCTGTGGGCGAGCACATCATACAACGCTGCATAAAGATTCGGTAATGGCAAATTGTGTAAATGCAGCAAAAGATGTGTTATTGGCAACAGCACAAGTACGTATAGAAAATCAACAGGGAGAGTATGTGACACTAACGGCATTAATTGATCAAGGATCTCAGACAACATTCATTAGCGAAGAAGCTGCTCAGATATTGCAAAAGCCACGAGTTAAAATCAATACAGAATTATATGGAATTGGAAAAGTATTAGTAGGTGTTGCAAAATCAAAAATAAAAATAGAAATGCAGCCACGATTTGAGAGCAGACATAAATTTGAAGTAGAAGCTTTGGTGTTACCAGCATTATCCTTTATTAAATAAAGGAATGGCAGAAATACGTTCTTGCGGATCCCAACTTTGATAAATCTGAAAAAATTGATATAGTGATTGGCGGTGATTTATACGTAGGTGTAATGCAAAATGGAATTTGTAAGAAAAATGGAATGCTTGGCCAACATACTAAACTTGGATTGATTATCTCCGTGCCTCTTCGTGTAAAGCAACCAGGAAAACAACGAGCAATCAACATGACAACAAATCTCGAAAAATTTTGGGAAATTGAAGACATTCAAGAAAACAAAAATCTTCACGAAGATGAAATATGCATGAGGCATTATAATGATACAACAATAAAAGATGAAAATGAACGCTTTGTAGTAAAGTTGCCATTTAAAGCTGAAAACGAACTTGAGAATTCTTACAAACAGGCAATGGCACGATTCATGAATTTGGAAAAGAAACTAGAGACTAATGAAAAGCTGAAAACAGAATACATAAAATTTATGGAAGAATATGAAGCCTTAGGCCATATGGAGGAAGTACTTAAAAAAGGAAGGGCAAAATATTATCTACCTCATCAGGCTGTTCTAAGGAAGTAAGTCTGACTACAAAAATCAGGGTAGTAATTGACGCTTCGGCAGTTATAACTAATGGCAAAAGTCTCAGTGATGTACTATACGTGGGACCGCGACTACAAAAAGATGTTTTCGATATTTTAGTAAAATTTCGTTTAAGCAGAAACGTGATAACAGCGGATGTAGAAAAGATGTATCGTCAAATAAAAATACATAAGGCGGATCAAAGTTATCAGCACATAATATGGCGTAGTAACAAAAACTCTTCATTAAAAGAATATAAATTAACAACGGTAACGTATGGAACGGCTTCTGTCCCCTGTCTAGCCGTTAGAACACTCGTAGAAATTGCTAACAACTGTTCAAATAAAAAGTTAGCGGAAATAATAAAAGAAGATTTTTACATGGATGATCTGCTGACAGGAGCTGATACAGTAACGGAATGCAAAAATATAAAAAAAGAAATATCTGAAGCACCTGAAGAAATATTCAATGAAAATATATATAATAAGAATTACAACGAAAAGGAATCCGAAGAAGATGAACTTCTAGGTATATCAGGGGATACCAATAACCATGAAGGCAAATATGAATTAAATAATAATTTAATAACTTCAAAAACAAATTTACAAATAACGAATCTAAAAATTTTGTTTAACACAAATTACTTTTTATATCTGTTTTTGGCCCCGGAACTCCTCACTACGGAGGATTTTGTACTGCAATTAATTAAAACACAAATTACTTTTTATATCTGTTTTTGGCCCCAGAACTCCTCACTACTGAGGATTTTGTACGGCAATTAATTATATTAGTTGGGCAGCGGAATAATCTATAATACAGAAAAGTGGTACCTCACCACAAACATTAAATAATATCTTTACAGAGTTGTATGTAGTAGTATAAGCATAAGTATTGGAAGCTTTGGGAAAAATGGAAGGAAAACACCTTATATATATATGATGACAGCGTCAGACATGAAGGAGGCGATACAACTACTACAACATAATCATATTAAATATCATTAAAATTTTATTATGGCCCCCGGCAGAATGTTCAATCACGAACATGAATTATGACCCCCGGCAGAATGTTCAATCATGAACATGAATTATTACGTTATGACCTCCGGCAGAATGTTCAATCATGAACATGAATTTATATATTTAATTATTATAGTTTATTATTATAAATCCATTATCACCTAAATTCTTAGAAATAGTAA